CATATGCAAAAGTATTGTGCTTCTTTTTTTTTCCAAAAGCACTGGCATAAAAGCTAGTATATTTTTCTGTATCCTGGCACTTCAATATCCAATATTCAATTAAAGCAAAAGAATTACCTGCCACTGGTTTCAATGGGAATGAGTAATGGAGATTATAAGAAGCATTTTTAATTGATGCAATTTTAATGTAACTGTAAAACAGACTTAAAGCCAAGAACTTTATGTGTAGGCAGGAAAATACGTATTCTTTATATCTTTGTTCTGAGAGGAATACAGTCTCAAATGAAAATCTTAGCAAGCACTGCTGAGTGAGTCTTGGGTGAAGGAAGATGCTGAGACCTGAGCCCATATCCTTAGCCATGTCATAGAATCATCATAGAATGGCCTAGTCTGGAAGGGACCTTAGAGATCATTTTAATCCAGCCTTCCTGGCGCCAGGGACGCCACCTCTCGTCTAGATCAGGCAACACATGGGGACCGAGCAGGAATCGAACCCACGACCTTAGCGTTGATAGCGCTATGCTCAACTGACTGAGCTAACCAGCCCCAAGGTTGTCCCTAAGGGTGAATCCTTTTCAGGACTTTTTCTTCTGTTTGCCTCATAGATGTGACAGGAGTTAAGACCAAATGACACACAAAATTAAAGGCCTTATTCTATGCAGGATTTCAGACCCTAGGTCCTACAGCAGAATTGGTTGTGAGTCTTCAGATCTTCTATAGTGGCACGCTGGAGTCAACTGTGGAGCTTTCTGCTTCTCAACTGTAAAGGCTAGTGACCCTGTTAGAGTGCGGGAGCTCTTACCTAGACCAGAGGAACCCAGGCTTACTCCAGCTTTTATATATCTTATCCCAGTGTGAATGAGGGAAGCACAGGCATTTAGTCCCAAACTATAGGAATGCATGTGGATTCCCTCATCTACAAGTAATTTGTGAGTGCAGGATGCTGGCTCTACATCCCTAAAGTACACCGTTCTCAGTGGAACACCTAGCAAATTCATGTTTCTGCATTTTACTTGTACTTGTTGAGCTTCAAGTATATGCTTTTGCATAACAACTTTTAAGAAAGGACTCTGCCTGAAGAATAGTTGTGAAATGTAAAGCTGTATATCCGAGGACCCACAGAAAGCATCTGCAACATTGGCTGATTTCCACAGTCATGCGGTGTCCCCTGCTACTGCATTAATTGATGATCCTGACAGCAGAGTCAGTTTTTTCCTACTCTTAGGAGTTTTTCAGCCTCCAAATCCAGTATTGTACTTCTCCACAGCTGTATCCGTACTAATAAATTCAACAGTGTCAATGAAGCCAGTAGAACTGAGACTGTCTGCTTCTGTTGCTAGCAAATTTCTTTACCTCCCAGAATGGGAAGTCTGTATCCAAAATGCCTGTTGGGAATTATTTGTGGTTGATATTCATTCCTGGAGAGCAGCCAGGAGTTATTTGGAACAGGTCAAAACTATTCCAGGAACTGTTCCCACAATATAGATGTGGTTCAGCTCCCGTGCTAAGAGTATTGGCTGGTGCTATTAAACATACCTGTATGGGAGTAGGCTATTTTAATTAGAAGAGGTAAAAAGCTTGTTCCCAACACTGTAAAGGGACACAGGGCTACCGAGAAAGACAAAATATTCTCATAAGATTGCTCCAGCTTAACCAGTGCTTCTGAACATCTCTCTTCAGCCTGATGCTTAGGGGTAGTCAGAGCTCAGGTTAGCAGCCTCTTGAGAGTGTGACATCTTCTTGGTTTGTCTAAATTGTGTACCTCCTTTTGCCTATCTGTTTTTGAATTGTATCAGGATGCTTCCATATTCAAAATAATTTCTTCAGCTCATACTCCTCTTTCCTTAATATTAATTAGTTTAGGGATATAAACTTTATTAGCATCTTTGATTTGCCCTTCAAGTTTTAGCAAGCAATGAGATGTTGCTCCAACTGTCTGAATGTGGAACACCTATGGACACTTTGACATGTTGATTTTCTTCAGGAGTTAATGCTTTCCTCTCTGAAGCATTAACTGAACTGTCATCTCTCAGACTTCCCCCTTTCCCATGGCTTATGCTGTGATCTGTGTTGTGATGACTATAGGTTTAATATTATGAAAAATACCATTCAGACAATGTTTTGACAGTCTGGCAACTGTAGATGCCTTAATAGGTTTCCCTAGAGACGATACAAAATGAATTAACTTATATGACTGACTTGACTGAGTTTGTCTTTAGTGAGGTTCAGAAACATGAGTCCCTTTCTTGTGGTAGGAATACTGTATTAATGTATTACATAATTTAGTGTAGTACGGTGTTTACTGTATTCAGAGGCAGTGCAGTCTTACTGAGAAACTTTATTTGCTTCCACTCTTATAACCATCTTTTCTAATAACAAAACGGATTTAGCTTTTCATCTATCAGTATGTTGATTCAGGAAATGCAGTGTCTTTCCTACTCCTCCACACCATTTTTATGCGAATAATGAGAACTTCCACATACCCTGTGTCATTCTTTTGCTGTCCATAAGGAATTAGGACATTCGGGTATATCCACAACTTGCCAGATTTTTTTTGCAGAGCTTCAATCTTCTCAAGTTCTAGACTTTCTGTAGGAGTTCTTAGACTTTCTGGTGTAGAAATAAATTATTTTAGAAATTTGAGCATAGGTAGAGAAACACAAAATCTGCAATTTAAAACTTACTTTCTTGAAATTATTCTGTGCAATCTCATCACTCAACCACTCATCTTCCAGGAAAAAAAGCAGAGTGTGCTTAACACTGGGTAAGATTATTGTTAATTTATTTAACATTCTGTCAAGGGTAAGGGCTGGGCCAGCTGCTAGTGAATGACAGATCCTCTCTATTAACCCCTCTATCTTCCCAAAAGGGAAGGGAAAAGGGAGTAAGGCAGAGCGACTTACAGGGTGGAAAAGCAAACTAAAGCACCTTCAATAAAATTATAGTAATACAAATAAGAAAATAATGAAGAAACATACAAACCCAATATCGAATCCACCCCCCTATAGCAATCACCACTGGTGCTGCCGGGCAAGCACAGGGGAAGTCCCAATCTACACTCAGCAGCAGGCTGGAACCAGATTCAAGAACTGGATTTGGGAACTGGATTCAGAAATCCATGGATCAAGATTGAGGGCAGGAGAATGGACAGAGTCCACCTCAGATGCCAACTACTGAAGAAGAAAGCTCAACCCTTGTGATCCCTCAGCCTTATACTGGATATGACATATATGGAATGTCGATCAGTTTTAGGTAGTTGAGAGGCGTCCCTGCCCATGAAAGGGAGGTTGGATTAAATGATCTCTAAGATCCCTTCCAGCCTAGGCCATTCTATGATTCTATGATTCTGTGATCTGTTCTGTGCATTCCTCTGCAGAGGTGTGACTTTTTTACTTTCTTGCAACCCCTTTACTTCCTGAAACCCCAGCGTATTACACAAGATTTAAGAATGACCTTGTTTACTATAGGAGCAAGTAAAAGCAAGAGCCTTTCTGCATACCCATCCTGGATAGTGACTGTAAACATCAAGGATTATCACTTCTAGTAGCAAACACCGTCTGATAAAATGTGCCATTAATTTCAGAAAATTTTCTCTCTTAGAAGAGACTGAGCTGAAAAGTAAAATCACTGAATAGAGTTGATTCTGTTCTAGCTCAAACCAAGATCCTGTGATATGCAGATGTTTGGTAGATGAGGGAATCTTAGTTTCGCTTGGTTCTCTCTGTGTTGTGCGCTGGCTGAGGTCCATTGTAACTGCCCAGGTAATGGAGGAAAGTGAGTGAACTGGGAATGCTGAGACTTTAAAAGCATGGCTTGCTACAGCTTAATCAAGTATTCTCTACATGAAGTGGTAACGTATTGTGCAGAGTAGCAGAGAAGAACTTGTGGGTTCTTGTTCTTCTCCATTTCTCCTCAGTATACCTGCTGGCCAGTCGGACATTTTCCAAAATTGCATCTCCTCACCATTTCAGATCATGGAGTGAAAGATAAAAACACACTAGGTAGTCTGTTTCCGCAGTTAGTCATCATCACTCTGGCAGCCAGGGCTTTTTCTCCAAGGTTAAGTAGTTGTCTTTGGTAGTTGCATCTTCTCCCCCGCCAAGCTAGCTGGCTGCCCTGTTAGCAGAGCAAATCTTTGTGCTGAACGCTTCTCAAAGCACTCTTTCTGCTCTCACTTCAGTTCCTTCATGTTTTCCAAAGCTGTATACAGAAATAAAATTGCCCCTTTCCTCTAACTTTGTTCTTTTGAGTGAGCAAAACTTGAATAGATATGCTTGGGACTGCAGTTTAGGAAACATTCCTGATCACAGCATTGGAACTCCTATTCTTAATATTTTGTTGTTCTTGTTGTTGTTACTTGTGACTTTGTTCAACTGTACTTGGTTGAGTGAACTGATGCTAATTTGAAAATCTGATTTATAAGGGATGTGACTGGAAAAATAAAATTACTCCCATCAGAATAAGAAATTACAGTGTTGTGCAATTCTGCTTTAGCTAAAGACAAGTGCTTTTTTTCAATGCTATGAAATGCTTCAAAGTCTTTCTGCTTGATTAAGTAAGGCTACATTGTATTAGCCATTAAGGAAAATTCTTTAAAATAATATTTTAAATTACTCGTCTGAGATTTATAGTTCTGGTAGAAGGATTTGCAACCTTTCAGTGAAGCAGTTGCATCGTGATGAAGTCTGATGGTATGTGACTCTGTGTTTTAGGAGTTTTACAGTGAGGAAAGAAAGCATAGCTGCTGTAGACACCAAATATGCAAATGACAGTAGCTGTTTGGTTCAAAATTCCTCCCAGCAAATCTTATCCACAGTATAGGTTCTATATCCTCTGTCCCATTGCCTTCTGTCTATCTCCAAAACATTTTGTTCCACCCGTGATGTTTTTCAGCAGTCACATGAAAAAATCTCCAGGCTAGATTCCAAGGGTGGAATAAAAAGCTGTGTTTATTTTTATGGAAGCACTAACAATTCTATTTGGATTGTATTTCTTCATAGCAAAACCAATGAATTATTGAACAGATTGGACTTCGTTTTGCCAAAGAGTGATGCCTGTCACATTGCTGATTATGGCCCAGAATCTACAGCATGGGTAAGCAAAACCATGGCATGTGCTATATTTTCTGTCATCTTTCCAGGTGCTGTCAATAGTGTAGTATTAGAATATTCTAATTGGGCTTAATTGCCCAGACATAACTCAGTGACTACCAAGGAGATGTTCTGGGGGAATGAGGTTGCTGTCTTACACACTAACAGAGTATCCTGTGTAGTATGGGACAGCCTTTATGAGTCACATATTTTTTTTGTCTGATAAATGAGACCCTGGTTTATATTCTAAAGTCAGACTGGAATCTTAAATATGCTCTGTACCCCTCCACTGGTGGCAAGATTTTATGAAATCTCAATTGGTTCACGTCAGTGGATGCTTTACTACATTGAAAATCTAGTCAGAAGATAAGCTTATTTCTCACTGCATCCTAAAACTGATGCTTGGGGACTTTGTCCCAATTTGAATGAGCCTGTTAAGTATCAATGTAATTAGGAAATAGATAAAGTATTGCCTAAATTTCATTATTCTAATTGCCTCTGAAAGGCTTTTTCACATATGATTAGTCTCTCCGTGTCTAAACCAAGCTTTCTTGCTGACGTAAAAACTTGCAGTGAGGAATATTAAACCCTGAGAAGTACTTCTCCTTCAGGAATGTTTGTAACCAGGGAAAGACAGAGAGTAGGCAGCCACGTGGACAGAAATTACTGTTAAACAATAGTCCTTAGTCAGCAGTAACTTGGCAGTATTCAATCTGGGCAGCCCTCTGTTTTATACAACTTTAAACAGCAATAGCTGAGTAAAGGGAGGGAAAGATTTACCTCCATATTTCCTCAGAAGCCTTGGAAATGTGCAAGACTCTCCCATTACAGAAAATTCTCCAAACAGAATAAATGACATCTCTTTCTTGCCTCTAGTATCTTTCCTGGTTTTCATTGCATGAAAAGGAAAAGTGGAATGTAGTTGTTTGATCCTGGCTGGTGGCCAGGTGTCCACCAATAGCCACTCTATCACTCCTCAGATGGGTGGGGGGAGAAAATATAGTGATGGGCCCATGGTTTGAGATAAGGACAGGGAGATCACCTGCAGCTACTGTCTCAGGCAAAACAGACTCAATTTTGGGGAAATCAGTTAAATTTATTTAACAATCAAAATCACAGAATAGTAATGAGAAAGAAAAACAAATCTTGAAAATAACACCTTCCTCCCACCCCTCCCTTCTTCATGGGCTTAACATCACTCTTGTGTCCTCCTCAGAGTAGTGTAAGGGGACAGGGAATGGGGTTGCAGTCAGTTCATCTGATGTTGACTCTACTGCTCCTTCTTCCTCTGGGGCACAACTACTCACTCTTCCCCTGGGCCATTGTGGGATCCCTTTCATGGGAGATGATCTTCACACACTTTCTCCTGTGTGAGTCCTCTCATGAGAGATAGTTCTTAACAAACTTCCCCAATGTGAGTCTCTCTCCATGAGGGGCAGTCCGTTAGGGGGAAACTGCTCCAGCGCGAGTCCCCTGTGGCATCACAGAAGTCCTGCCAGTCAATCTGCTCCAGTGTGAGCTCCTCTCTCTCCATGGGGTACAGGTTCTGGCAGCAACTTGCTCCAGTGCAGGCTTCCCACAGGGTCACAGCCCCCTTCAGGCATCCACCCGCTCTGGCTTGGGGTCCTCCTTGGGCCACAGGTGGACATCTGTACCCCGTCACCTCCATGGGCTGTGGGAGGACAGCCTGCTTCACCATGGTCTTCACCATGGTCTTCACCATGACCCAGGGGAATCTCTGCTCCAGCTCCTGGAGCACATCCTCCCTCCCTCTCTTCACTTACCTTGGTGTCTTCACATATTCTCAGTCCTCTCTCTCTCTCTGCCAGTTGTTGCATGCTGGAGTTCTTTTTTTCCCCATTTCTTAAATATGTTTTCACAGAGACGTTCCTGTCCTATCATTATTGATAGGCTCTGCCTTGGCCAATGGTGAGTCCATCTTTGGAGCTGGCTGGCATTGGCTCTATCAGACCTAGGGGAAGCTTCTAGCACCTTCTTGCAGAAACCACCCCTACGACCACCCCACCACTGAAATCTGGCCAGGCAAACTCAACACATGGAAATAACTTCCTTTGCTCCTTGATTCCTTAGGTCATTTTGTGTCTCTGAAAACCCTAAAGATATCTTAGTGTATGTGGGCAGATATATAGCTTGAAGGAGACAATTTCTGTCTGACATTGCTGCTCAGAAGGTCAAATGCAGGAGAGTGGCTTTCAGTCTTTTGTAGTCCTCAGTGGACGGGCAAGATGAAGGACTATGGGAAGGGAGAAAACATGTCTTGAAACCAGTTCTACCTTTCTCTTGAAGAACCTGACACTCCAAAGAGTGTGGAGCTTATTCATGGGTAAGGAAGACCCAGCTCTACAGCCTTTCCTATGATGTGAACATGGAACTGTGAAGACAAGTGAGCCCATGTCCTTCAGCATTTTGATATGGTGTCTTCATATCTATACAGAAGCGAATGGATGCCTGAAGGAGCGGTGAATTCCTTCTGGTGTACAGGTCCTACTTTTAGCCTTTGCTTTCTACTTCACCTATGTGTGCCTTTCTTATTCAAGTTTTTTAGAGGTTTCTTAATAAGTTATCCCAAAATATATATCTTAGTTCATCTTTGGCTTCACTAGTATCCAAGGAGAAAAAATACATATTTTATCTATAGTGTTGTTTAATGCTAGCTGATATTACTATACATGTCTTTTGCACAGCATGATTTCTATAGCTTTGTAAATCAATTGCTTATAATGCAGCGATGCAGTTAGCGAAATATCTTCCAAACCAGCTTGGATGAGGTACAGTCTACAGTCATACGTACAGCCTCTGTGTTCCATGTGAGTAATCTGAAGCACTTAACCAATGAGTTATTATCTAAATAAACTTGACGTAGTACCAAAATGCTAAACCAGTGGGAAAACTTGAACTCTAATTTTGATGTTATCTTGGACCTGTCCTTTGTCTCGACTAATTAAAAGATTCAGGACAATGTATTTGAAATAGGGTGGTGTGATAAACTTAAGAAATGCCTGCCTGACATGCATGATAAAAGGAGGGCATATATATATGTGATTTTTAAAATTCAAAATTTGTGTCCTGAAGAAGGTTTGGGGCAATGTGACGTTGATTGATTTTTTTCCCTCTCATAATATTTTTGATACTGATATTAGTTTAGCACACGTAGTTCCATGTCAAATATTACTCGATGTGCGTGAACAAATTTAACTTATTTGGAGTGACTCTGTCACTGGTGACTTTTTTAGTCTGCTTATTTAATCAAGCTCATAATTAATTTTAATCCTGTCTTTCAAAGTGTTAACAATCCTGTGTAGATTTTTATTGTCTTCCAACTTGATTAACATACACTCCACACAATTCTCCAAACCATTACGGAGAGTAATGAATAATATTGGACCCAGAATGAGTCTCCCTGGACACATATAACAACTCCTTCCAGCTCAGAATTGAGCTATTAATAATTGCTTTCTCTATTCAGTCTTTTTAGCAAATTATGTGCCTGTTGTTTTAATGGTGTCATTCTGCATACATGTACCAAGTTTCAAGAACATTATGTAGACCTGCAACAAATTCCTCACTAAAGTCAAACCTGCACACTTGTATTAACTTGCACTGACTCATTATTTAGTGTACTACATTATGTCCCTGCTCAAAGAGTTTCCAGTATAAGTTTATATGCATAAGATCCCAGGGATCCTCTAAGACCCTAATGGTAGGCTGGCCCTTTGCTAACAGCTACAACTTCTGAAAGACCAGGGCTAGTTATTGTAACAAAAACCTGTTACACATCTGAATACATTGTTCATGATGTATGGTTCAGATTTTCATTTCTCTTGACTGTCCCACAAATAATACAATTAGTTTCATCTATCAGTTTCTGGTGCCCTACCTCCACAAATCATAGAATGGTTTGGGTTGGAAGAGACCTTAAAGTTCATCTGGTTCCAACACCCCTGCCATGGGCAGGGACATCTCCCACTAGACCAGGTTGCTCAAAGTCCCATCCAACCAACTTGGCCTTAAACATTTCCAGGGAGGGGCATTCTACCATCTCTCTGGGCAACCTGTTCCAGTGCCTCATCACCCTTACAGTGGAGAACTCCTTTCTTATATCTAATCTAAATCTGTCCTCTTGTAGTTTAAAGCCATTACCCTTTGTCCTATCACTACATGCCTTTGTCAAAAGTCCCATTCCGGATTTCCTTTAGGCCCTTTCAGATACTGCCTTTCCACAAATAATCCTGGATTTGCCTCTGTTACCAGGCCTCCATTCTGCTTTGTTATCCTAGTAATATTTTCAGTACTTTTCTTTCTTCCCAGAATAACCTATTGGACTATTATGCGTCCTGATTGTGTTTTCTGACTGCATAGGGTATCTTTGCCCTTGACACTGGAACACGGAATAGGATGTGCTGTAGCTGCCTCGTTGTGATGTGCAGGTGGACATTCAGCCAAAATGAATGACTGAGAGCCTTTAGACCACTTCTTGTTTAAATTCTAGTCTTCAGACTCATCTGTTTTTAAAATAACTGAAATAATTCAACCATTTCTTTTTCGCTGGTTATCTGTATAACAATTTGGGAATAAGTTTTGGGATTTTGGCCCCTGCCTCCCCATACCAATATGTTTATATTCTCTGCTGAACAACAGAGTAGAAGCCATGCTTATAAGCAAACTCTTCGAGAGGATGAAACCAGAAGATTAGAGGAAATGAAGCAAGAACAACGGAGAAAGGTAATTATACATTAACAGTTTGCATATTGTGTCATTTCTGCATGCTGTGAAACCAGTTAAATACATTGATTACTTGTAGCCTACGCACAGAGCTTCTTTTTAGCAGAAGTGATTCAATCACTGTTTTCAAATACTGTGAGACAGATGAGCCAGACTGTAAAACTTGGACAGGGACAGGACAACTTCTGGATTCAAGGCTATTTCCATCTGGATGACTAGCTGCTGTTTGCCTCCTCATTTGAACAACTGTGCAGGGCACTTTTTGGCCATGAGACCTGATATCATAGGCTAATGAAGCCAATTTCCTCTTTCAGGCAGAAGTAATCTTACTGAGATGTTCGTGATGATCTCAGACTGAATAATCTCTTTCCAGACAGTTGAGGCTCATGTGTCCTGCCTTCCCAAGTGGGCATGTGGAAGCACTCTGGTTTGCTGTTAAGTCTGTATACTTCTCTGTGCCTTTGCTGACCACCTAAATGAAGAGTTTGAATTGTCTAAAAAACAGGCATACCATAACTGCAAGTTTTAACTCCATCTTCTGCACAGGTGGCACTCATTGCCTGAAATGTGTATAAACCACTGATGTTACTGTGGCACAGATTTGAGTAACATATTCATGTAAAATTAGTCTGCACAAGGCAGTGGCACTGTGCTAAGTTCTCTTTCTTGGCTCCAGGTTCGACTGTGCACTTACAGGGAGGACATCTGAAAATCTGAAAATCATATTAGCATCTGAAAATCGTATTAGCAAATCATTTGAAATCATGTTAGCAAACACTGAGCCTCTTCCTATACCTCTGCTGTTACTAACATTCAAATTAATGATAAACCACTTCCTCAGTAGCAGAATCTTAGTGCAACAAACTCCGTGCAATGAGTTTTTTCTAGAGCTAGAGAAGTGACTCAGCCTCCCTCGTGGATATCTTTAAATTGGGGGATAAGTGTCCTAACTTCATGGTATTCTAAGAACTAGGATGCTGGAATCAAAAGTTAGGGGAAAAGGGAGAGTCTTAGTTGCTTTCCTATCAAATGTAGGCTTATTCCCAGAAACTATACAGAGGAAAAGTTTTTGAAAACTAGTTCTTATGGGCATAAGGCTGGTAGCTGTTGTATTCTGTACGTTGCTTCTTCTATAGATGAAATAATTAAAGATGTGAATTAGCATGTCCTTTATGAGTTTGGTGTAAGGGACCTGTGCAGACCTTTCAACTGCGATTTCTACAGATTGCTAAGAAGGTGTTGGCTGGCTCCAAGGATGTTCCTGCTTGGTGCATGGTTCCAAGTGCTCCTTGCCTTCACAGTTGCTGCTACCTGTTGTGTAGTGCACTACATACAAACCTCCTGTAAATAATAGGTATTTTAAAGGTTCCAATAATGGCACCTCAGATATACGTTGGCTCGTTTCTATTTCAAGCTATTATTTGTTAAAATAATTGTGAATTCTGTACCTCATAGCACAGTGTAGCTATAAAACATAGAGATATTGTCAGTTGCCTTTTTTTTTTGAGAAAAGATTTTAGTATGTATTGCTTGGTTTAGAAATTTTCCAGATACTTTGAGCACTGCGTCATACACGCAATATATTTCAGGACATTACTCCAAGAGAGGACTCAGCATATTGGAAAGTCAGATACTGGGTTTTAATTTTCAGGTTGGATAGTTATTTAAAACAGTGAAAATTAAGGTTGGCTTTTTTATTTCTTAATCCTGTTTCTTCTTTAAGGGCTAGACAAATATTGATACACAACACATTCGCAGTTATTGATTTTCTTCATACATTTATTGCATAGTTTTTATTTAATGTTCCACTTAAATTGATTTTTTTAAAAAAACCCCACTTTTGTGGTTCCATTCAGTTATTGAAGCTTTTGTCTAACCACATAATTTTATTTTAGTTCCTACTCCTGCTGCTGCTCAGTTGCTATGGAAAATATGAAAGATGGACCTGTTCCTATCCCATCCCCCTCACCCTGTGAGCCAAATTTTCTTTGCAGAAAAATCTACATCTTCAGTTCTTGAATACATTGCAGGGAGCAGGACCCAGACAAACAACTGTACATGCAGAGCAGAGTCATAAAACCTGTGTTTCCTTGACAGCCCTGGCTAAAATTGCATAAGCAAACTCTCCTTTGAAAACAATTCCCTGTAACACTGTTTATATACCTTAATATTACGTAACATAAGGGTGGCAAGCTGCTGCAATGCTGGCAGCTTACACATGCTTTCACCACATGAACAGGTGCCATTAGCCTTTCTTCAGCTTTGGGAGAACTCCAGGATGCTGGAAGTGACCCACCACCCAACATACTCCCATTCTCATCTTCTCCTCGTGCTCCACAAAGGCAGGAAGAGAAGGGCCTGTCTTCTTCGCACCCTAAGGGCACTACTTACCCTATGTCTGCGTCTGCTAGATGATTTCAACTGTCTTCTGCCTTGGACCTACAGGAAAATTCAAACTTGTAGTTTAGGGCAAGGGGCAGCAGACTTGTGTCTGGCATACCCCTTTAAATCATAGAATCATAGAATGGCACAGGCTGGAAGGGACCTTAGAGATCATCTAGTCCAACATCTCTGTTTTGGGCAGGGATGCCACCTCTCGACTAGACCTGGCAACACATGGGGACCGAGCAGGAATCGAACCCGTGACCTCAGTGTTGGTCCTTGTTGCCAGCACCACTGAGCTAACCGACCCCATGTAGGACTGTGTCAGAATCATAGAATCATAGAATCATTGAATGATTTATGTTGAAAGGGACCTCAAAATTCATCTAGTTCCAACCTCCCTGCTGTGGCAGGAACATCTCCCACAAGATCAGGTTGCTCAGTGCTCCATCCAGCCTGGCCTTGAACACTGCCAGGGATGGAGCATCCATAACCTCTCTGGGCAACCTATTCCAGTGCCTCACCACCCCTAGGGTAAAGAACTTCTTCCTTATGTCTAGCCTAAACCCACGGTCTTCCAGCTTTTATCCATTGCTCCTCATTCTGTCACTACAGGCCCTCGTAAAAAGTCCCTCCCCAGCCTTCTTGTAGGCCCCCTTCGGGTACTGGAAGGCTGCTATAAGGTCTCCCTGGAGCCTTCTCTTTTCCAGGCTGAACAACCCCAACTCTGAAGCCTAACTAATCCTGCAGCTCCCCACTTTTCAAGGCACAAACAAAGCTCATCCAGTGCAATGCTGAACAGGACAAAAAAACCAAACAACAAACTCTTAGCGTAGTGCTGTCACATAAATAAAATGCTGTTGAGAGAAGTTCTGGGAATGACATTTGACTCTAGCTGAGGTTAGCACCATGTGGAATTAATCGGGTTTGCAACATAGGTATGTTAAGTAAAAGTAAGTTTGCTGATTTTGTTTCTTTTTGTCACTTTATCATTCCCAGGCTGAACTAATGGAACTTAAGCAAAAGCAGGAAGAAGAAGCCAGAACAAGAGCACATCAAAATGAACAGAGAAGGTATGATGCAAAAATGCAGAATACATTTCAGTTGAATTCCTATTTGTAAAGGATCTCAAAATTGCAGCCATTCATGCTTTAGAAGATAATTGCAATGACGATCTCTGACATCACCTCTAGTTTAAGTTTATCTTCAAATAAACCACTAATATCCATCACTACAACGGCTCACTGTAAAGCAGCATGACCCAGAGTGCCTTTTCTACTTCATTTGTCTATCAGCGTAGGGAACCACTAGTAGTTTCGTGGGTAACTACTAGTACAGTAACTTCATCTGGCAAGCATTCTGTCTGTCTGTCTATCTATCTATCTATCTACCTATCTTTTTACTTTCACTTTATTTTTGAATGGGCTACTTTGTCCAAGGCCTTCTGCAGCTGCACTGCTCCACGCCCCAGGTTGTGCCCAGCCCTCTGCCCTCTCCATTCTCAGAGGTTCTCATCTTGCACTTCTGTCACTTAACAGACTTTCCATTATCTTGAAGCATGACTTCATTCTCAGCTTTTTTTTCTGCTGGTAAAAAGAAACAACACTTGGTCTCAAAAATAAAGACACCATTTTTTTTCTTGGTTTAGATTATTAGTGAAACCATTAGTGAACGATTCTCCGTACTGTTTTCACTTTTTTTTTTTATCTAGCAAAGATATTGAGATAATTATCCATAGAAGTTAATGAAGGATTTTCGATTCAGTCCATCTCATATCCCTAGATGGAAATAATCGTGTCTTGCATTTTACATCTTTCTTACTAGTAACATTTCAAAATATTAAAGCAGCAGTCATGTCTAAGCATGTGTGTCAGTCCTAAGCATTAATAAGGGGAATAAACAGTTTTCAGAAGGCCTGAAAGTATTTGAAACAGATTGAAGAGAAGTGTATTTGTATTTGTATTTGTATTTATATTTGTACACTTTTTCCAGATCGATAGAACAGTATGAGAAAATACTAGAGCTGATTTCAAAGCTGGATGGTAGAGGAAGTTGCCAGCTACACAAATTGCATCTATTAGTAGCAAGCTTAAGAGAGTTTTTTCATTGGCATTAGGAAATCGGCACTTCTAGAAGCTCTTCTTGTGTACTGAAGGCTGAAAGAGTGCATAACTTCAATTGTCAGCTAACCTCCCTGATAAGGTGGGTGGTAGTATCCAGTTTGTCTTTCTGCGGAGAATTTTGGTGCATTTTTCACAGCAGCCTTTAAACCACAATGGATCACAGAATAAGGATGCAACTTGTGAATTGGAAGTGAAATCCACCCTATCTCCTGCTGGTCCATGGTTATGCAGCACAGGCTTGAAAAGCATAGGAAGATGGGTGACGTTGAACTACAAGGCAGCTCACAGAATGTTAAATTTCTACTTTCAACTGTTAAATTTTTGTTGTGTTTTAAGGGTAAATAATGCTTTCCTGGACCGACTCCAAAACAAAACACAACCTAATAGCTTCTACCAACCTGGATATTCTGCAAGTCTGGACTACCTCAGTAATGGTGCCTGGGTAAGTTTTTGGGTGCAGAATGTGAAAGCAATAAGATTTAAAAATTTGACTTTTTCCCCAGATACTATTATGTGCCTGTGTGCATTTATCCTACCTGACAGAACTTATGGTCTTGTCTGACTGTTTACAATAGCTTTTAAGAAGAAATCCTGTGTTAAATATAAGCTATTCAAATGGGAGGAGTGAGAAACAGCTGCTCTTGCAGCAGAACTCAGTGGCTTACCACAGGTAAGCTTACTCAGGTACTTACCACAGGTAAGCTTACTCAGGTACTTACCACAAGGAACCTCATCCAATGTACTTCCTTAGGTTCAGAACAAAGGTAGCGAAACTGGTCATCCAATGTACTTCCTTAGGTTCAGAACAAGGGTAGCAAAACTGTAAGGGGTTTTTTGAAAGTCTTTAAATGCAAGATGTTTGAAAATGCTGTGAACATTTTAATATGATATTGAAATTGGATGGGAAAAATCCCATGAAAAATACAGCTGTTCATTTTTTACACATATAAAATTATGGCCAAGAAGACCCAACTGCATCCAATTTAATATACGTAGTATTTGTAAGGATTCTTTGATATCTCGACTGTACCCTGTTAAATGCCCATTGGTTTTTTTTTTCTGGTGTCGTAATGAGGCTTTAATGTGTCTATTATTTAGAACTGTGCTCTTCAGTGTAAAAATAAATAAATTATATAGTATTCCCACCATCGAAATTTCCATTAGGCTGAAACTCTGTTGCTGAGAGGACCCTAATGCAGAAATGGAAGATTTACCAAGACTGAGCAGCAAAAAGTTGAGAGTCTGAGTGAATTTAGTGAAAGTGCTGGTGTAATCACTACAACCTCTGGGCAAGCCCTGGGCCATGGCACAGGGCTCGGGAACCTTGGACTGAGGTCACCTCTGTACACAGCAGTTCTTTTGGTCTTGCTGAGAGGAGGCAGAACCTGCCAGCTCAGCTTCCTGTAAGCTCTGCAGGCAGCTGCTTCAAGAACTACTTGATTAGTGGCTTTACTGGTGAGGCCTGTATCATCTTTCAGGAAATCCAGGAGCTGTTGGAAGCCAAATTGCAGATGTCCAGGCTAGGAAAAGAGTGTGAGTAAGAGAGCATGCTGTATGGCAAGCCAGAACCATCTCCTGAAGGGTGGTATATCTGCAGATAGTAGAGTTAGAAGCTTCAGCTAGGACAACCAAAACCATTCTATGAGTCTATGAGTCTATGATTCTATGACAGAGGTGACTGATACCTACTCATGGTCAAAAGGTAGAGTTTGCTGGATGGGACCTGATTGCCAACAGCAGCAAGGGCAGAAATTATTACTTTTATTTCACTTTGTGTCCTGTATCTCAATTTGTAAACATTTTCCTGATAAACTCAAAAGAAAATGTGTGACATAGCTGAGATCCCCAATATCTAAACTTGAGCATCTCCTTCAGAGTGCCTGCTGTCACCTATGAAAGCCTCATCATTGTCTGCAGAGGGAGTGGGGTTTTGTCTTTAGCTATGTGACATGTGTCCTCCTGCACAGGACAGGTGTTGGTACTACCAAATGAGTGCAGTCAGCCCAGGCACAGTTTAACAACAGATGACGCTGTGACATATGCAGCCAATATGTCTTTTTTTAAAAAGAATATATATATATAAAAATATA